CGATCATCCTCTCTGTCTGGTTTAATTAGACTCATTCACAACAAACAGACAGTATCATACATACACCATACCACAATCACTCACCGACACTTAACGACAGACAACGAGCACACCCACACATCACAACGACGCGATTAGTGAAACAGACCTTATGCATCGATCTCACAGCAACATCACGCTACACTAGCACTATCACCGACAGTATCACTCGTCTCCAATCAGCCAGGACGTCAGGCTAATCTGTCCTGATCGACAGACATCTTTATATGCAAGAACACACACAGACGGAGACCTGAACAAAATCCTGAGATGAGTTTGCCGCCTGTCACGCACTGTGTGTGTGTGTAATGTGTGTGTGCGTGCGTAGCAAGTCACACGCGATCACGAGCTACACAGCGTCGCATACAGTTACGTGCGTAGCCGGCGGTGTGTGGTGTGTGGTGTGTGTGTGTGTGTGTAGACCAATGCAAAGGGTTTCCACGGGCGACATCCAGAGGTTTTTAAATGGCGTTTTCCACTCGCTGTCATCACAAGACACCACTTAATACTCAAACAGCACTTTTATTTTTCTACCGGTCAAAACGCAGCGATGGTGGTTTGGACACACAGAATAACGTCCAAACATCACTTCATCTAAACCGTTTTTGTTCCACCCGTTGTGTACACATGACACGCAGTGATGCACTCATAGCTGTACACAGGAAATCACTTTGCTTATGGACCTCAACACACCATTTACCCTCTCTCGATTGCAAGAGTTCTGTCTTTCCTTTAAATCCGTCATCGCACTTTTCGACTATATTCTTCGGTCTTTTGCTGAAGCAGAACATATTGCGCTGCAGAGAATGTTTCCCAAGCACAAACTAAATATCTACACAGTGAGTTTTTTAAATAAAGCCAGCGTACAATAATAAGGTTACAGCCTTTCACATTTGTCTAAGGGGTCTATTTTATGACCTCTCACTGGTTTTAAGATCTTGTGATCTCCATCAAAAGCGAGGGAAGTCACAGCCCCCATAATTAACACAGGGGCACATTATTTCAGCCCAAATGAAATAACAGAAATAGATCATTCATCAAAGTCCACCACATCTATACCAACGTTCCATCAGTCTGTATTCATACGATTTATAAATGGTAGTCCTATCACACTAGCATCACACCACACAGCCACACAGCACGCATGCCACTACTGTGATGTCTAACAGGTATTCATCTGAGCTGTTCAACTCTGAGATAGTTGAACCCTTTACCCCTCGCTACCCACACTGTGTCTATGTATAGCACTAATCAAGAAAAGAACAGACTCGTGTATTGAAGCAGATCGGCTAAGCAATCTATATATATGGATCAAAGTGTTTACATATGGTGGAGCATGTTCATCATGCTATGAATATTGGCTAGTTATAAACACAGACGAGATGTACATATTATTAATGTGGTGTGTCTGTTTTTAGGCAGTGCGGTGCGCGTTGTACGGGAATCAAGATGATAAACTGCCCGTTCTGGAGGAGCGCGAAGCGAACCAAGTGTATTTTTTAAGGTCTTGCCAGATCCACTGTATGACATATGGCATCTTAAACTCTCATATTATCTGAGATCGACTAAGTAGTACCGGAAACGGAAACCCGGTAAATGTTTAGGCTGTTCTCTTTTTTGCCTCGCTAATAAGCATAGGGACCCTTTCATTATCTTACGCAAGACACTTCTGACTATCGAGAACAAAAAGACGCAGGGAGGCGATATTGAGAGAAAAAATGAGATACACTGATACCATCTTGTGCTCGTCCCACAGCATCACTCATATATAACCCGCAGCGGACCTCTAAATATACATACACTGCCTGATTTCACTAAACTATGTACACTGTAAGTCTGTACTGATAAGAACCTAGCAACAAATACATATTGGTTAAACACTAATAAATGTCTTAGTATTGATAATTACTACACAACACAACAATTTTGTAAGTTTCTTCAAATATGATTACTTGCCTGTGAATTCTGTGTAGATAGCACCTGCTTTCATCACATAATTTAAGTTGAACAGTTTTACAGACATAGGCTGACTTGCTAGAAAGGAGCAGATTTCAGTTCCAATGATATATAAGTTTTATAGCTTCACCTGAGACTCCAAGAACAAAAATGTAGATGAATGCAGGTTTTAATCGTATACCAGGAATAGGCAGTTATACTTCCAGTAAAAAAAGACAGGTAGGACCAAATACAATAAACAAAAGAGAGTAGCACCTGTGTCTAGATGCCGTGATTCCTAGAGGAATATTAAAACCACAGTATTCACCTGTAGTGATATGACGAACGTATTATGGACATAGTAGTGAAAATCGTGATTATATTGTTCAATAATACACACTGCAATACACGAGCACCCTGTATGTCGAGGGTATAGAGAGAGAGCGCACACACACAGCGCACGTAGGACATGAAGAAGGACTTGCGAGTATCTTGCCGCAGACAATGGCGACCTGCAACGAGAGATTTCCACAGCATGTTTCTCTCATTTAGGTAATCATCATGTTCTATGGGTTCATGCAACAACGTGTGACAATGCAAAGAGCTCTTTGACCATACTCAAGTCAGACAACTACATGACTACACGTAGGAGTGAGTCTCCATAAGGACGCAGCTGAGTGCCCACATTTCGCCAGGGCTCCGCGGTATCTGCCTCGACTCTCACCTACTACACAAGAGAATCCCCTGGGGCCTAAACTAACAACGCGTAGCTGGCCGCTGATTTCTTTACTTCTTCCATAAAATTAAACAAACAAAATAAACGAAATGATCCAGGTAACTTGAGGTCAAAAGACCGATTCCCCATTCCTTGCGAAGACAATTTGACTCCCACACCCCTTCCTTATATAACAGCTGATTATTAGAAAAAATACATTTTATGTATCAAACAAAAACAGATGGCTCAACGTAATCACAACATCTGTGATTGAAATGTGTTTGTGTTTGAGCAAACCATCTGAAACCTGTCCCGGGACAAAAAGAGAGAGAGCAGCTGATGGCCAAAACTGGTGGAGATCGTCAGACGACAGGAAACGCACATCATCGGAGGGTCTGGATGAGGACAGACTCAGGTGGTGTGATAACTACAGATAGAGGAGACTGGTGTGCGAGAAACTTTAGAAATGAATGTAATAATAATGAATACATTTTATTTTGTAAGCCGCTCTTAAGAGGTAGCGTCAAAAAGGAAAACAAAATAAATATAGTAAAGTCACATTCAAATCGGAGCATAAAACGAACAATCAAAGAAACATTAAAAGCCAGTTTTGAAGGTGAGTTTTTGAATTGCTCATAATGTTATCATTAAGTTTGCTTGAAGAAAAATGTACAGTTTTCAGCTTCTTAAATATCGAGCAAATTGTGATTTTTCTTCCTTTTCTTTAACATGGATGGTGAATTTTCAGGGTTTCCTATTTATTAAAGAACAAACAAATTAGATTGATACAAATATATCAGTTAGAGTCTTTCATGTCCTTGTTTAGTTACTATTTAAAGTCAAGCTACTGAACAAAAGAATAAAACGTCGCTGCCCAGCAGTAACTCCATCAGATTACATTTATATATGAATAATACATCAGATATAATCACACAGGTTTGAACTCTGCTGTTAATCTTTTATTTGTTGTGTGTTTGTTCTCAGGGAGGATGAAGGAGGATGGAAGAGCCGACAAGGATGAGCAGCTGCTTTCAGTGAGTGGCTCGTGTTCATTAGTTATTCACAACCTCCATGTCACCGCACCTTAGTTCTGGCTTACTAAATTATCAATTGAGGATTTCCATCACTTGTAATTGAAGTACAGATTGACATTCGTCTGTGTGGGTGTGTGTGTGTGTGTGTGTGTGTGTGTGTGTGTGTGTGTGTGTGTGTGTGTGTGTTGTGTGTGTGGTGTGTGTGTGGTGTGTGTGTGTTGTTGTTGTGTGTGTGTGTGTGTGGTGTGTGTGTGTGTGTTGTTTGTGTGTGTGTGTGTGTGTGTGGTGTGTGTGTGTGTGTGTGTGTGTGTGGTGTGTGTGTGTGTGAGTGATGTTAAGCTCCACCGGACATGTTCTTCATCTCATTGGATCTAATACTTGCTAATGGAAAAAGCATCCAAACAAAAGCGCTCCCCCTCGGTCTGTCAGCGGCGCTTCCTATTAAGACAAACTGGAGGAGAGCAGCCGGTTTAATTGTTGACCCGCTGACAAGGATAAGTTAACGCAGGCTTCATTGCAATTCATGACCGTGAAAGCAGGGCGGTGAAATTGAGAAAGATTTATTGAACTTCAGCGAGAGGTCGTTCTGAATGCAGCGAGTAACGCCGACGTGGGCTAAATAGATCGCATTATCATTTTAATTTATTCTGAAAGTTAACACACAAGTTTCGCAGTTCATTCCCACTCAGTCACGTGAGAGTTTACAACACACGTTGTTTCAACTAAGCAAGGTAAAGATGGCTACTCCACTAGATACATCAAACTGACAAGAAGGCTTAGGCCGTAAGTAACCAAACGCATTAATATTCATCCAATATAATGAATAAACATTAAAGGGTCTTCTTCTTCCAACTCTTTTAACCTCATAGTAGTGCCTTAAACTATTATTTAGTGAATGAATTACAAATATATTATTGTTAAAGTGATGTGTGGTGAAGAAACACTAAATGTTTACAGCTTGGAAATTGGGATTTTTTTTTACATTGCGGTCAATGGAAAATGTTGGGCGTTTTGATTGAAGAAAATAAAAGTTATTATTATTTTTTTATTAAAGGTAGGGTAGGTAAGAATGGAGAAACCAGCTCAAGTGCGCTAATTTGAAAATACACAACCGGAAAAAAACTGCCCCTTCCTTCAGACTTCCTTACAGAGCCCCTCCTCCAACACATACGAACGCGCACATGACCAATGAGGGCACCGAGATAAGTTTGTGCACAGATGGAAGCCTATCCCCTGTGTGCGTAGGCCATCCAGTTACTTTAGCCGGGCCGGCTCAGATGATTGGTCGTACTTTTTACAGTACCACGGCTTCCACAGATGACATTTTTTAATGTATTTATTGTCAAAGCATTTAATGTATTCATTGCTATCTGGATGTTAAGAACGTTCCATGGAATATAACAAAAAGTGTTCCTGAAATAAATGACATACCCCGCCTTTAATTTACCGGTAACTCAACTTAGTTACCAAATTAACTAAGCTCTAGGAATGACACTAGGCCTATATGACATATGGGATAGGATATTTCACTGCATTTAAGTTGTTGTTGGTTTTTAAGAGTGTACAGTATACAAGATTAACTAAACCGGTTTTATCACGCGTTCACTCACATTTTGTAACGATTCATTAACATAACAAATATATAAATACCTTACCAGAAGAGATTGAATATCACATCTAAGCTATTTTACTGTGAAAAGCACATTTATAGGATCACATTTCTCATAATTTGTGTGAACTTTAATGGTCTTCAAGTAAAGAAACAAGGGATTTAAATGTACCAGACCTAACCTGTTATGTTTGTCTCTGTCATCTTTTCACTACCTTCCTCTCATCTCTATCTTTCCCTCCTCTGTAACTTCCTCTCTCTCCTCCCGTCCTCTCATTTTGTCTTTCTCTCTCAGGCGTCAAGAAAGACAAACCAAAGAAGAAGTCTCCGATTACTAAACTGTTCGGTTGGGGGAGTAAGAAGGAGGGCTGACGCTCTGCAAACACACCGCAGCTCTCCCTCTGATGTTTGTGTTCATTCTGCTGCTCTTGTTGTAGTGTTAATGTCAGCGTACTCAGCCTGTGATTCATAGGATAACACTGACAGTGTATGTATGTATGTGTGTGTGTGTGTGTGTGTGTGTGTGTGTGTGTGTGTCCTCGTTTTGAGTGTACGTGTGATCTGTCATTTTAAGCGCTTTTAGAAAAATGCCCTTCCCTCTGTCGACTGCATCACTCAAGATCTGACATCGCTCCTGCCTGCCAGTGACACACACACACACACACACACACACACACACACACACACACACACACACACACACTGTACATGATGTTGAGGGGTTAATGACTCACCAGCCGTGTTGTGATTGGGTTCAGCGCTCCAGTTGTTAATTTTAATACCCTTCTCGTCTTAATCTGTCTACTTAATGCTCTCTCACTCACAGACATATGCACACACACACACATTTCCTCTCTATCGTCTCACACACGCCACTTGCTGAGATGATGCTTGTACAGTACGCAGTGTATACAGTAACACGGATGCTAATACGAGTTAAAGAACAAAGCACTCAGACAACTTTAGGGTCACTTTCTGACCTCTTAAGTCGATTACATGTTGAACTTTTAACATTTAATCTGAAAGGTCCCGCTCTCTGTCGTTTTTCTGTCAAACAGCATTACATTTTTATATCTCGGTCAACAACAAGTGTACTCAGAGCCAAGGACTATTCTTTCTTTATATAATAGCATCTCGTAGACTTGTGGTTCGGGAGTAAAAGCAATACGCAGTTATTCCCCTTATCTCTGAATTATTTTCAATGATTTTCAGAATAATTAAGTATCAGAGAAGGAATAATCATTCTTTAGCTGAACTTGTTACAGCCTTTAGATAAATGCAGCCTATATTGAGGAGATATATAAATAGTTTTTATGTCTTAAAAGTAAAAATAAAAACCCTTATGCAGAAATACACTCATACAGTATGAGCATAGCATTTCAATCCTGGTCTTTTGGGAACAGCAGATCATGAAAGTTCATTACTAATCCTTTTCAAATGTCCACAACATATTATGGTTTCTATTCAGCGTCAATTATCCTTCAAGAATGTACGAAACAATCACAATAATTACGAGTTATTCTCTTCACTGTATACATATTGATATGTTTTAGTTACACATTTATGAGTGAATTAACATTTGATACTCAAACATGGTTCTAACAAAGTCACCGGACGTCAGGCTTTGTTTTTTTCTTTTCCTATCCACTCTTGTTCAGCAGTACTTTAATATGTAGTTTGTGTTTTTACGGTCGGTCTCGAGAAAAAGGATGAATATGGTTTGTGTCATGTGACTCAAAGGTTTTCAAACTAAAAGCATGTTTTGACTGGATCTGTTGGTCCATATTGGATCTGGATTTGTGTTTATGCTCGAGGCACTGAATCAAACTTCAAATGTCTGTGCTGTGACCAAAGTAGTTGGTACTAAACAACATTAGGATTGTATATATGTTAATCTTCCCGTCCCTTTTACTCCCCTTTATCTCTGTATATAGTGTATAAACGCGTATATGTATAATGGTACTAACGCCAGATTGATTATTAAATGGAGAAACCTGCCTGGACTTACTTCCTGTAGAAATGACTGTAATAAACCTACTAAAAAACATATCGTTATTAATTAATCGTGTTTTTGTATCATTCAACACACACAATATGTCATTTTTTGCAACTAAGGGCCTCTATTATCTAACTCACATGGAAATAGAAATGCACATAACTGTAATGGTGGATGTTTATAAATAAACCACATTAACTAAATGCTTTTCACCTTCAAACACAGTTGTATTTGTATTTTTGCCTTATTATTCCACACGTACATGTATTGTAGTCTGAATTATGGTTTATATTAGGATGGTTTTATTGAGGTAATGTTTTATATACTGTATATTTGGTAGATTTGAAGATGCATTTTTGGTGTGAAACCACTAGGAGGCAGCATGACACTTCCCATGTCTCTGGAGCTCACACAGAGCAGGAATCCCTTTTTATCTTTAGTCTGTAGATCTTAAAAGAAACAGTCATACAAGATCCAACCCTGACACAGAATACAAGATGTAGGAATATCATCTTTTTAAATGTATATTCTACGGGAGTAAAGTTTTCCGCATCGGATTTTACTTCGAATTACACTGCTGCAGAAAGTCAATGCAGTCCCACCATGCAGGCTTTTACGAACATTTCTCCAGTTACACGAACTATTACATAATATACATTTTTTAAATAACAGATTAATGACAGATGTCGGCACAGGGACAAGAAAAAGTATGTTTTTATAGCAAGGATATGGTCAAAGCTGATCATAGAGAGTGTGGTTGCTGACAAGAAAAGCCAGTCTTGTTATTGTTTGTTTCTCCACCTTATTCTCTCTCATGAGGGATTTAGTAGAGTTCCTGGTCCCTATTTAAAAAAGGGATTTTAAAATGCTGCAGCTTTGAGACCCAAAAATCACCTCAAGAATTGAAAACAGGTTTCATGGCAGAGGAAACAACACGTTTTATTTGATTTTTGAGATTTCAACACAGAAAATCCAATATTTCAGTTCATTTTCTATCTTTTGGACCGACACACATTTAAAACAGATTGTTCTTGGAAGATTTAAAGTGGGTTTTTAAATATTACCACCACTTTTTACCAAAAACTGAGCAGTCCTGCCTTCTTGTATCCTCTACCTGCAGAGCTCCAGGTCAGGAGTGAGTACAGATGAGCAAAACTGTAAAAACATGTGTTAATCTACTGCGAAACAACCACACTGCTCCGAGTGACGAGGTCAAACAGAATAATTTCCCTCTGAAACATCCATTCACAGGAGCAAAAAGCAAAAAATACAAAGACAAGAAAAGAGCAGGGAAATTGACTTTTAGCTCATAGTTGTTGTTTTTCAAAATATCTTTAAGCGTGAAAATACAAGAGTGTAATCTTCCGCTCTGTAAAGGCAGCATCTGTTCCTGTTGTTATGTGTGAAAGTGTTTGTTGATTCCCTCCTAAAACCATGATAAAATGTTCCCTCCCCGCGCCGCTGTGTGTCTGAATCAATCACGTCTGCGTTTAGCGTTGGAACATGTTTATCTTGGGGCTGAAAAAAGTGCCTTTAAAGTCGACTCAATGAGGAACATGTATAATGTGTGAGACTGGGGTTTCAGTGCGAGTGTAAATATACCTTTGAGGATCATTTACATAACACAGTGGGCCCTCACACATTATCCACGGAGTTTTTAAACAGTTTAAAGCGAGGCTCCGCTCTGTTCTGACATAATGTGATTCACCCGTTCACAGCTCGTTAAATCCATGTTAAAGTGGAATAAAGGCGTCATTAGCATACACTCAACCTGTTGGTATTGTTGTTTTAAACGCCTTTATGTTCCTTTCCTCACTCCTTTTAGAGTTAAAAGGAAGCTGTGTTCAGGATTTGACACACTGCACAGTTTCTCTTCATCCCTTTACCATTGTTCAGCTTGGTCTTGGTATCTTCAAGTAAACTCAAGTAAAGTTTCTTCTTCTTCCTTTTGTATTTGTTACTTAAAGGTCCCATGTCATGGCCATTTCTACTGATCATAATTCCATTGTTGAGGTCTACTAGAATAGATTTACATTGTTCAATGTTCCAAACTCACATTGGTTTCTCATACAGCATCTCTGTATAGTATGTGTATTCACTCTCTCTCCTAAACAGCTTGTTGTTCCCCCCCCCCCTCTGTGAGCCCAGTGTGCTCTGATTGGTCGGGACGTTGCAAGGCTCGCTGCTGCGAGGAGCGGACAGGTTTCCGGGTCGGTGATACAACGAGAACAAGCGAAACTCATCCTGAGCGCACACAAACACTCACAGCCGAAGTAAAAACAATAAGTGTGGCTTGATATTGAGTAAGAAAAAGGTTTCTAACGCTGTGAGAATTCCCAACTCGTCTATTACCAGCTTTCAGGGAGCTCTATGCAAGTCAATGGGACTCCCTGTTAGTTAGCCAAGGGATCCTGGTGTGTGAGGGGCTCCGCGGATTGGTCCATTTGGGCCAATCCGGTCATTTGTTGTTGATTTGGGTGTTCACACGTCACAGAACCCAGAAAGCAAATAATGGAAAATGAGAAATCTCCAACGAGGCGTTCTGGGGCAGTATAGACAGGTCTTTTCTGTGTTAGAGTTTTACTCGCTACAGGGTGTACTTTGAGGGTTTGTGACTCTGCAGACCGTTTACATGCATAAAAACCTTCATAACACACAAGGGGACGGGTAATAACGCATGACATGGGCCCTTTAAGCCTTTCAAAGTCAACATTTTATACGGGAAAAAATGATGAAAAGTTAAATCTCAGGCTCAATTGTTGGCGAACGCTTAAAATTAGGAGTAACACACAACTANGACTATGCCGTGGCTCATTCTTGTAGGATATTTAAATCTGTGCCACATTAACAGGGCTCCGCTTCTTGACTCACACATTAAAAACCGTCCAAATAAAACTCTGTAGTTTTATTTGGACGGTTTTTAATGTGTGAGTCAAGAAGCGGAGCCCTGTTAATGTGGCACAGATTTAAATATCCTACAAGAATGAGCCACGGCATAGTCAAAGACTTTCATGTGTTGTGTGTTACATGTGTTTCCACAAAGACTCACCTGGTTTCTCCATCAGTCTCCGCAGCTCCAGCTCCACGCTGGGCTGCTCCTCCTCCAGGTCCTGCGTTTTTCCACTACACATAAAAAAAACATTCACAATTTCATCGTTGTATCTTTAATCTAAATGTATTTTTTATATCCGCTCAATGCTATTTTTTGTTTGTTGTTATGTCTTTTACTGGTAACTGTATTCTGTGTGATATCAATGTTCTGTGAAATGTCTATGTGAAGCATTTTGAACTGCACTTTTTGTATGAAAGGTGCTCTACAAATAACGAATATTTTTATATAAATTAAATTGTTTATTGTATTTGTTGCTATCTTACAGTACAGAGTAGAATCAGCATCTATTCAAGGTCAGGTTTTTGGATATGCGTGAGGCAAATTTTCACTCTTTTTTTTTTAAGCTCAGTTTTTGGTCTCGATCAGAAGCATTACAAGCAAAAAAAGAACACCTAACATTTACCGGGTACCCTAACATCAAAATGATCTAATCCTAACTACGTGGTGGCGCCAAAACATTAGTTTCACGAGTCAAAACATTGTTCTAAAAAGAGAAGATATAATAAATACACACACATTAAAAGTCACTGTCTGTATTTTAAAGCATATCTGGAATATGCATGAATTACATAAGATGTGTTGTATACGTTTCCTATCAATTTTCCTTTAACATGCCTTGGTAGGAGTAAAGGTTCAATATTCATTTGAAAATGTAATAATTGCAGTGTGTGTGTGTGTGTGTGTGTGTGTGTGTGTGTGTGTGTGTGTGTGTGTGTGTCTGATAACAGCATCCTGCTTCCTGACGTCCTGCTGTTGGAGGACACTGGGAATTCAAACTNCCTGCTTTGAATCTCTCTTCTGCTGCTAAAGAGTCCCCGACACCTGTTGTCTCCAAACCTGTGGCCTCACGGACTACAAATGTGTCCACTTTCGCCACAACGACCACGAACAAAGACACAAAGACACCGTCTAGCAATACATTTACCACGTCTACAGTTACAATGACACCGTCTACGGACAAAAAGACAACGTCTATCAACACCAAGACACCGTCTACGGACACAACGACAACGTCTATCAACACCAAGACACCGTCTACGGACACAACGACAACGTCTATCAACACCAAGACACCGTCTAGCAACAAAACAACCACATCTTTATTTGGTAAAACACCATTTAAGAACAAAACGACAACGTCTGTATTCACAACGACACCGTCTAGCAACGAAACGACAGTGTCTATCAACACGACACCATCTAGCAACATAACATCAACATCTAGCACAAAGACACCGTCTAGCAACACAACACCGTCTATTACCACAACAACATCAGATAACACAAGGCCCGTTGCTGCTCCTCGAAAATCCCCAACGGCGGCAAAGACGCTGAAGTCCAAGCTCAACTTCTTCAAATCCGATAGCCCTCCTAAAGAAGAAGAGAAAAAGACTGTAACCACCAGCGTCGTCATCAACAAAGGGCCGAATGCGAGCGATAAGGTGCAGGAGAAGGCCTCGGCAGCGCAGGCCGTCACCGTGGTGGTGAATGTTGGAGGTTTGGGTAAAAAGGCGAATGTAAGCTGGGATACAGAGGAGAAATCTAAAGCAGTTAGTGGAGGAGAAGATTCAAAGACCAAAGCAGCAGCAGCCATCATCTCCAAAAAACTAACAGAGGAAAACAACAACATCAACAGTAAGCCAGCATGGGCCAATGTGGCGCTGAAGAAAACTGACAAGTAAGTAATGTAACCACACACACACACATTTATTTTCAATTATGATGATAATGAAAACAAGATAATCAAAATCCAACAACAAGATAGTGACACGCTTGGTTTAGCAATTATGCTCTCTTTTTGTCTTCAAGCGCACCCTAACCTGTTTCCCTGAGTTACTGACTGGAATATGTTGAATATAGAAAAATTACAATAATAAATGTTTTGTTATATATTGAATATTTATGTAGTTCTCATTAAGTAGTACTCAGCAGGTTGTGGAAGTGCACTAACGTAACAACACATATAGGAAGCATAACCTTCTTTTTCATGAACTTTAAATATAATAATACATCAAATAAAACATAAATATGAATACAATAAAATATGAATAATCCAAACATGTCTATTTCTAATGATTGTTTTTAAAATTCCACACTTTAAAATGTTTTGTTATGGTTTATTGGTGAGCTTTTATTTTAGAATGTTTTTTATTTCCATTTTTTTTCGTTTAATTATTTTATTAAAAAAAAATTATTCATTTATTTTTGCAGTCAAATCCCGTTTGAACATCGAAAATCCCCTCTTACAAAAAGACAAGAAAAGTAGTGATCTCAATATTGAACAAAAATAATTATGACTAGTCTTTATATTGTCTTGCTTTACCCTGACCTCTACTGGTGAAACATATAATTACATTTAATTAATAATAATAATTATAATTATATAATAATTTCTATAGCGCCTTTCACGTAACCCAAGGACGCTAATTGTTCTTCACCTCTCCTCAGGCCTCCTCAGGTGGAAACTCCGAAGAAAGATCCAGAGCCTGTGAGAGGGAGAAGGAGGCTGAAGGCCGACCCCTCCATCCTCGCTGATCTGCAGATCCCCAAAGACCCGAGCCCCGCCAGAACCAGAACCCCAGAGAGACCTGCCTCAAAGCCCCGCAGTGCATCACCCTCTGGTAACACACACACACACACACACACACACACACACACACACACACACACACACACACACACACACACACACACACACACACACACACACACACACACACACACACACACTGACAATTCCATCTACTTCAATTACAAGTGATGGAAATCCTCAATTGGATAATTTATAAGCAAACTAAGCTGCGGTGACATGGAGGTTGTGATAACTAATGAACAGAGCACTCACTGAAAGTCAGCATCATCTTGTCGAGCTCTTCATCCTCCTCATCCTCCCTGAGAACACACACACAACAAATAAAGATTAACAGCAGTTCAAACCTGTGTGAATATATCTGATGTATTTATTCATATATAATGTAATCTATGAGTACCTGGGCAGCGACATTTTTATTTTTTTGTTCAGTACTTGAGTAAATAGTACCTAAACAAGGACATCAAAGACTCTAACTGATTATTTGTTATCAATCTAATTTGTTTGTTTTAACAAATAAAACCCTGAAAATTATGTTTTAAATGAGACTGACTAGCTTATTTTTATGTCCGTAAATGCTATTTTTGAATATAGTATGTTAACTAAATGCACTCAAGGTAGACCTTGAATTAAGGTTCAATCCAACATTGATCAACCATTATCATTTTTAATTGCTTCTTCTTCAGAAAATGTTCATTTGTATTGCATTGGGTTTCAATGATACCTAAATGAAGCCTTCTTTCGTAAAGGAGTTCCTTTTTGTTAGACAATGTTTTAGGGTACAATTTGCTTTAAGTTCATGTGGACCTTTTACTTCCCTTTACCCTGAATTCGACCTGCTTTTTGTGGAAAATCCATCCAAAACAATAACAGATAGGAAAGGACATTGCATAATGGATATGACTCTGAAGGAAATGAACCAGGAAATGAAAAACACTAAAGATTGTTTTTTCCTTTTTCTCATTAGCATCAGAAAACAGTGACTCGCCTTCAGACTGGAGGTTGAAGCTCAAACACGTCTCCAAGTAAGACTTAGATATGTTTGTTGTTTATCCTTCCCCTTGCTGGCTCAGTTCCTGCTCTGCTTGTGTGTGGCCTCACAACACACCACCATCTCTTTCCTCCCCTGATGTCCTGTCCATCCATCCATCCTTTGATCCCGTCTCTCCTCCATCCTCCCGACCTTCCCCTCCTGCTGGAAGCCTGAACCTGCTGCTCCTCCAAATGTCTCGACCATATTTTGTAGTCGTAGCTTTCGGCCTGTTTTCTTCCGCCACATGCATGCGAGCCCAAGTGGTGTCGACACTGATTCGAGTCCTCCGTGGAGCGACATATGCTCAGTGCTCAGCTTCTTTCCCCCGGATGACGTTTCCTCCCACTCTCATGAATCAAGCCTGCAGAAAGGAGACTACTTGTAGGGGCAGATAAACAAATTAATTTCTGTTTATTTATTCTTCCACCCACAGACCTGCTGCTCCCTCACAGCCCTCTAAGCCCTTGGCTAATGGAGCTGGAAAACCTCAGACTTCAGATTCCTCTCCCTCCTCTCATTTGTCCACCACCAGCATTTCTGTCACTCCACCTGCAGAAAAGGGTAATGTGGTAACATAAATATGATTTTAGACGAAGAAACAACATATTTGTTTTATCTTATTCCCAAGTATTTTGTCCTACATGGACATGACAATATAACTGCTGCAAATCGTCTTCCTAAAAGACACAAACAAAGACAAAAAGGAATCATACAAGTTCCCCCCCCTCTTTTGTTCTTTTGTTTTAAAATTATTCGTTGCTTTTATCTCATTTTATAGGATTCCTGAATGGGAAAGGCCAAACTACAAATGGCACCAAACCTGAGTCCATGATTACCAAGGTAAGTTTAAGTTAGCTTATACCTACAGTATAGGTTAGCATATTCTTTTCAATGCAATCCCTTGTTTTTGTTCAGTCAAATGTAGTCATTAGAATGTGACACCTTGAAACAGTGACTGTACATCTTGTGTAGGAGCCATGAAACATGTTTAGTAATGCGTTTTGTTTTAATATAAGATATTTGTTTGAGCACTATTGATTGGTTGGCTTGGGTCACATGGATATGGGCGGCACTCATTACAACCCTGTTCACCTGCGTGAGGTGTGTGTGGAAGAGAGGGTGACACAGGGCCGTTGTACTTTTTGTTGACCGCAAGTTGAAATTATTGCTCTGATTAATATAACGATGTCCAAGGAGAATAAGTTGATCATCCCAGTTTTCATTAAACCACATTATTTTGCAACTGAGTTTTTGATCTCAGCAAGTACTTTTTTGTAGCGTGTCACACAATATCAAACAGGCCCGGCCTCAGCCTCTCAGCGACTTTGTTTGTTTCCTGCTGTCGCTATATCTTGAATGTACTGTAATGAATAGTACTGCTGTAGCTTCACTGTAAAAACGATTGTAGGCTAACATTAGCTAAAGCATTTTAGCCGTCAAGCTGATGCTAATAAAGTTAGCTTGCTAAAGATAATTGAAGTATTTAAATGTGTGTAAAAAACTAGAGTATATGGTCATAAATAAGGAGCTAGCAACATATGTAGCCCTCCTAAGAATACAGCTAATACATTTAGTTAAAAGCTAGCTGGAATATAAGTTTACGTTAGCCTACATGTATAAGCTAGCTTGTAAAAGGTCAATAAAGGAGTGAAATAAATGAGGTATCATTTATATTACCTACTTATTGTAAGTAAAAGTAAAATAAATGCTTTGGAAGAAAGTCAATTTTTGAACCCCCCTTTCCAATGAATTATTGCTTTATTCATGTATATTTGGTACTATTCTGATGATCTTTTACTTATGTAAGGATGTCATTTTAAAGGCTCTAGGATCACTGAGATATAGCCCAACACAGTCTCACGGCATGTCGTGAAATAGTCATGAAATTAATCTATTGATTCGTGTTCACCAACACGATTTCGCCATTTTCTTCGTGTCACACAGAACGATTTTAAAAGCAATGTAAATAATAACAAATTAGAAGGAAAAACAGATTTAAAAAAATACAGATGTCAGTATTCTGAGGCTGTGAGCCCCACTTCTTTTCCTCGCGGACGGCAAAAAAACACAGACATTATACAATTTAAAATAAAAGGGTTAGGCTTAGGGTAAGATATAGAGTGAGAAAATGTTTTTATGAACCACACAGCTTCTGGTATTCCAAGACCCGACCGGACAAAAAGACGTGGTGCAGGCACGAAACATACTACCAATAGAAATACATTGCTTTTAAAATCGTTCTGTGTGACACGAAAAAAAATCATGTTGGTGAACACGAATCAATAGATTAAATTTGATTTCATGACTATAACACGAAATGCCGTGAGACTGGGTTGTATAGTCACATGAGTTTTTGATCTAAGTTATGGTTCACATCTTCACTTACATGTGTGTGTTGCATCTGTAGAAGAAGCCAGACTACATTCAGAAAGAGGACATCATAAAAGAGCTGCAGGACATCGAAGATAATCTGAACGAGTGGGAGGGGAGAGGAGTGGAGCTGGAGTTGAGGCTCCGCAGCAGCGAAGCAGGTGAGACACACACACACACACACACACACACACACACACACACACACACACACACACACACACACACACACACACACACACACACACACACACACACACACACACACCAGCTTCAGAAAAAGTGTATACGGAGTTAACTGTTTGTGTTTGTGTGTCAGATGGAGAAGATGACGCAGTCAATGACGAGCTCATGATCGAGTGGTTCAACTTGATCAGGAACAAGCAGGTGGCCATGCGCCGGGAGTCAGAACTGGTTTACATGTGAGTAAACACACACACACATACATACATACATACACACTCACACACTTAGTAAAGGCCACTATTGAGCGATTAGTGAAACAGACTTGTGTCCAGAAGGTTGACAGTTTGAATTCCCAGTGTCCTCCAACAGCAGGACGTCAGGAAGCAGGATGCTGTTATCAGACACACACACACACACACACACACACACACACACACTGCAATTATTACATTTTCAAATGAATATTGNCATCTCAAACCCGTGCAACACCTCCAACTCCTTCAACTCCTCCATCTTACAATCTGGAGGGAGTATTAGTCGGAGGAGTTGGATTAGTTGTATGAGTTCGGTAAGATGGAGGAGTTGAAGGAGTTGGAGGTGTTGCACGGGTTTGAGATGGAGGAGTTGAAGGAGTTTGTGACCTCGGTAAGATGGAGGACTTGTAACGGAGTTTTGTGAGCTCGGTAAGATGGAGGAGTTGAAGGAGTTTTGTGACCTCGGTAAGATGGAGGAGTTGAAGGAGTTGGAGGTGTTGCACGGGTTTGAGATGGAGGAGTTGAAGGAGTTTTGTGACCTCGGTAAGATGGAGGACTTGAAGGAGTTTTGTGAGCTCGGTAAGATGGAGGACTTGAAGGAGTTTTGTGAGCTCGGTAAGATGGAGGAGTTGCAGGAGTTTGAGTTGGATTTGTTTTATGAGATCGGTAAGATGGAGGAGTTGAAGGAGTTGGAGGTGTTGCACGGGTTTGAGATGGAGGACTTGAAGGAGTTTTGTGACCTCGGTAAGATGGAGGAGTTAAAGGAGTTTTGTGAGCTTGGTAAGATGGAGGAGTTGAAGGAGTTTGATGGTTTGGAGGCGTTGGTTTGGTTTGGGCTGGTTCTAATAAAGCCGTGAATCTGGAAACAGGAGTGTTTGTGGCTAAACCTCTGAAAGGTGCAGTGGGGTTTGAAGGCGACATTGCCCTGAAACACAGAAAAACATTGCATGTAATTTCTGGCCAATCAGAGTCCTTGGTTGGTGCCATTTAGGGCTGCCCCTTCTTATTAGAGTAACTGGTGGTTGACACATTTTTGTAATGCCTTATTCATAATTAATGACTTATTTCCAAGAAACCTAAACATCTCTGTTAAAAATAATATTCAAGTGATGCTTTTGATTGAATCTTTGTTGAGAAACTCGGTATTACAGATTGACAAAATCACATAAGTGTAAATAAGCCTTGAATTAACATGGGTCCTTACTTTGCACAGTGCCTGTGATAGAGCTTCCCGTCCACTAGGTGTCGCTGCACCAGGTGAACATGCTCGTTGCAGGACCCACACTTGTTGCTTAAGGTGCTTGTCTGATGACGTTTCTCCACCACAACATCCTGGAAGAAGGAGACAGAGGTTTCAAGAGGTGATGTTGTAACTTATCTGAGGCAACACGTTTTGTTTACATTGCAGCAGCAGTTTCGTAGAGCTGCTCAAATGTGTATTTTGGGTTGTCTTGCATTCATCTTTAAACATTTCTACACTTTCTTGACACTCTTAGTAACGCTTGTATACAATATTCAGGCAGCAGATGTTACCTTTGTGGTACTTCTGGTCTGTCTCGGGGAGGAAGAGGGCCGTGTGATGTTGACGGAGGGCGGAGGGCTGTTCTCTCTGGCCGGTTTTGAAGATGGAAACACCTTCGCCACCACCGGCTGGTTCTTCTTCCCAGACGGTTCGCCTGAGGTGCCGTCTGAGGGGCCGTCCGCCGGGCGCTTTATACCTGCCAAACCCCCGACTGCAGCAGAAACACAGAATAACAGAGACACACAGTTTGTACAAGTGTGCAATCACTTACTGGAGAACCACTTTGGAATAGTTGGAATGTTATGCCATTTTATTCATTAATTTATTATTATTTAGTATCTTGTGCTTTCTTTTCCCGTTACATTGTCATTCTGTAATTGTCCTGAAAGAGGACAGAGGAGGCAGGAGGGATATTGGGATGAACCCCCGGAGTCAGCTGAGTCAGCAAGAAGGGAGCAAAGTTCTTTCCTTTAGACCCTGTATATTTCAAACTTTAATTTGGAGCAATTTGCCGAGCGTTTATACGCTTCTAAAAATACAATTACTGGATCGGCTGCCCTCATGTTTCCTCACTTGCCTATCCTCTGGAAGCCTCCCCTCTCCTCACTTCCTCTGCAGGCATGTAATGAATTGGATATCAGGACCCACTTTCAAGTAAAGGGAATGAGGAAAGAGGACAGAGGAGTCGAGGAGGGATATTGGGCTGAACCCCTGGGGTCGGATGAGATAGAAAAACAAGAACAAAAGAACAAAAGGAACACGTCGGCCACACAGAGAAACTGATACTCACTCGGGGAGCGTCCATGGAAGAAGTTGTAGTACTGCGACACGTATGTGAGGATACTGAGACGGTCAGGAACTTTAAGTGCCACCATGTCGTCTGCATCCAACAGCGCTGGAATTCCCAACTCCTCCGCGACCCTGAAGGCCTGCAAATATCATCGACTTTATCCAACAAGACAGAGGAAGCTCAGGGTGGATTTTAATTATCTTGAGCGAGAGGCCAAAATGGAAATGGACTAATAAATCACATAAGAAGCAGATATCCTCATGAGACTTCCTGTATCTAAACACACTTACTATCAGATATTCAAAGCACGTTTGTATTGTGAGTTCATGTTTGGGACTGTTAGTGTTCTAGATAATGCTCTCTTTATAATTTCTATTTCAGCTTTATTTGACCAGTCTTCTATAAGAATCAGGGTATCTTATTATTGGAAGAAGTTGTCCAAAATGTTTTACGCTAAAGAAAGCAAGAGTGCTAATATATGTTTGCCTTTGTTTAATATGTTTGTTAAATATATTATTTTTACCTATTTGAGTGCCTGTCATTAGATGTTAGATGTGCATCCTATGGATTTGGACGTGTATGATGAAAAAAGATAAAACTATTAAAAAATATATTACTTATTATTAATCACAAAGTATATTCTTATGCAACAACATAAGTGAAAGAATGTGTTTTAGGTTTTATTTCTTTTCGATTACATCTACATCTGCAAATGCTAACAGAGAAAGTGAGTCAGGAATTTCCAAGCTAGATCCACATTCATTGATTCCACGGAAGCAGAAATAAACAACAAGTCGAGGCAAGTCGAAGTGCAGCAGAGGCACGACTTAATCAGTAATCAGACGATCCAGAGCCACTTTTTACTCTGCAAAAGTCTTACAGCTCGTTGTTGTTTTTATCTAATCAGTTTTTTCAGCTACAATCCTGACTTGTGACAAATAATGGCTGCTCATTTAGTCTTCATTCCATCTCACTTTGAAGAGCAGCCGCAGAGTTCAGAGTCCAGCAATAAATCTACAGGGAGAAACTGAAAGTAAGAATGCAACGAAGCCGCCAACGTCTAAGAGCACAGAATGAAACACTCTATATTTGGCCACGGATTCTCCTCTCAGCTATGTTTGAACACTGACTGTTTTTGAAAATTCCCTCACATTAAAATGGTGCTTGTGCTATATCAGAGTGAACAAGCACGATAGGGCCAAATGTTGCAGAGAGTGAGTGCTTTGTGATGGGATCACACCAGCCAAATCAAGACGGGGGCGTAAAGTGTGTGTGTGTGTTGTGTGTGTGTTTGTTTGTGTGTGTTTTGTGTTGTGTGGGTGTTTGTTTGTTTGTTTGTTTGTGTGTGTGTGTGTGGGGGGGGTCTCGGGGCAATGGCACATTCCCTAATTCCAGCCTTTGGGACTCAACATACATTTTCATCTAGGCTAAATATCTGTTTTCTGAATGCATCTTGTAGGATTGTGACGCCATTGAGATGAAACATTCTGACGAGCAGACTGACTCACAAGCTGAAAGCAATACCAGCAGGTAAGTCGTTTTTATAATAAATAGATTATAAAATAGCCTTTGAGATTTATTGATTCCATCGTTTAGTCTATAAACCCGTATACATGCATTCAACAATTGTGTGCATATGTTCAAAGCCAAAGTATATCAAATCCGAAATCAATGTTTACGAGTTTGCAGTATTCGTCATTGCTTTTGTGGGCAGATTGCAGTATATCCATGCATGTTACCACCACATGATGATGTGAAATTGTTGGGAGGACTGTGTATCATCGCACTCAAGATAAACATCACCCGCACCTACTTGTAAACAAACAGCTCCATATCGCTAATAGTGGATGAAAAGTCAACAGGGAACCTTAAAGTCGGAATGAAAACATCTAAAAATTATATTTAGGTGTTTCTTTTAAATACTTTGTCTATCTGCATTAGACAATTCTCCTGAATACATCAAACGTTTGTATTAGAAAGCCTCATTGGCATATATTTAAACCTAATATTAGAGAAAACAGGTAATAAAAAAGGATTATGATAGGGCCCCTTTAAAATGTGAATGTTTACCCTATCCACCTGCTGGGTTTCTCCTTACGAAATACATTGACAGGTCAAAATGCAGAGCGTAAACATGTCTCACCAGTTTGTTGTTTTCATAAACATCCTCCTTATTCAGTGAATCAAAGTCTCTGCAACAGAAGAAGAAGGATAACATGTTACAAACACATGATTCGCTTCCTCATTTATTTGTTTACCATCAGTGTAGACATAAACATGTGTAATATAGGCATACACACACCTCAGATAAACATATATATAACACTGACAGGGTGACTGATGACTTCTTTACACGGCTGCGGTGACACATGATCTCATGTCAGTTTGTCATGCAGCTGAAACGTACATGAATATCAGCCAGCATTCATAAAGGAGCGTGTCTAAATTCAATAAACCGAAGCAAAGCCTTAAACCAATGTTTCATACAATGCCCATGTAAACATGAACCACGCTCATCTGGCTGTGAGGAAAACGTGGAGTGGAACAGCTGTGTGTCTTCTTCAAATTAAACGACTGTGTGTCCGTCCTAATGGCTCGTCTGGAACAAAACCAGGCAACTCTGTTTGAAACTGGACAAAGATTTACTAGAGTTGATAGGTCAAATCTTTGGAATATTTCAGCCAAACTCAATGTGGACATCTCTGGAAACATCTGTACAGCTGTCAAGTTATAACTATTAACCATTAGGTTTCAGAAGGTCCGGGGAAAACCCAGAGGAAATGTCCTGTCAAACAATAAAGGCCAAAGCTTCAAACTGAAAGGATGTTTAACAAAGACAACGTTATGAGTTACCATACAACTTTTATTTTCAGTTTTGGAGGCACATGCAAAACTGAAACTATGAGTCGATGAACTTATTTTTCAATAGAAGGAAAATCACATTCCCTGAACATTTAAAACACATGTGAAGCAAGAAATGCCAAACATACACCACTTCCTGCTTCTATTGTTGTATAATGAATATCTTTGGGTTTCACACTTGATTTAAAGACATCAAGTGCTCTGGAAACTAAGTTTTACCCTATATTCTGACATTTCTTTTAACAAAGCTTAACAAAATAATATTCATCTTAATGAATCAACAGCAGCTATCAACCCTTAACTGAATGACATGAACCGCAGAGGTGTTTGCTACTTTGATTTACACTACAAGAACAAACACATACAAAGAAATGTTCTGGGAAAACAACAAGTCAGGTCTGAATCAATATTCCTGTCAACTACAAGGCTGTGAATGGTGATTATCATAAGTGTTTTTTTAATGTTGCATGTTCTTTCAGGCCTAATAGTATTCAATATGTTATTGAAACGAATAAGTATTCATGCTTGATTGAATGCCAAGCATTGTCAAACTAGTAATTTCCTATCTTGAATATTAGTGTGATGACACAGATCAGACCACAAAAATGAACACATGTCTTTCACAATAAGTACATTTCAGTGTTGAGTATTCAGAAGAGATCAGCCTGTACGGATTTAATTCTCACATCTTGTTGTTGTTCGAGTCTGACTGCATTCTTTATTATAAATACTGAGGAACAGGAAGAACCAGGATGAATTAAATGCCTGAATGCCTTTGTCAGGTAAGCTGTGAGGTCAAAATGAAATCTGTCCTGATGTTAAAACATGCAGACTTTACTCCCACTCTGGTTAGTGTCCCAGCTGATCTCCACAGCCCTCAGCTGAGCTCCTGCTCCTGTCTTTCCTACAGACCAATAAAGTGTGTTCCCTTTCATTAAAGAACTGCACAAACCTACAATAAAGCTGGAAAGTAAAACCGATGTCCCCCTTCTTCTCTAAACAGTTGTCAAACACCCTTCATTCAAACAGCACCAACCTGCTTGTTTCGGTGTGTTTTAGAAGAACTTCACGCATTAGTTTCCCTCTTTGTTACTCACATGAGATCGGGTCTGTGTTTGTGTATCAGGGCACAGAAAGCCATGCCGCTCCTGAAGGAGGTGGTCATGTTGGTGATGGTCACATCCCGGTATCCGTCGCAGCGGAGCCGGCACCACTGCTGCAGAGCCTTCACGGCCGACATCCCGGAGCTCAGAGGCGGACTGATCCAAGTTCGAGTGCAGCAGAGCGACTGTTGATCTCCCGGAGCTCCCCCACTCGTTCCTCCCTCCTTCCTTTCAACAACACACTGCTTAAAAGTTTCCACAGCAGCTTGGGCACGCTGGATCCAGGAAATGACAGACGGAGAGCCAGGACTCTGTGTGAGTGTGAGTGTGAGTGTGAGTGTGTGTGTGTGCGTGTGCGTGTGCGTGTGTGTGTGTGTCAAAGTGTGAGTGTGTGGGAATCACCCTTTTGCGTCTGAGGAGAAACTGAATGTGACACCTGCGAAAGGTCGACAGTTACGCGGCATATGGGCATATGGGTGGAGTTTAGTCCGCTTTCTGTGTCTTCTTGTAACCCTCTATGTGTGTTTGTGTGTGTTTGTGTGTGTGTGTGTGTGTGTGTGTGTGTGTGTGTGTGTGTGTGTGTTCATGCAGAGTAATCACAGAGCCATAGATAAGACTTTGGAGAGAACATGAGTCCAATTTACTCAGAACATTTTAATTACAGCCTTTCAAAAAAGTCTGTTCTTTTTATAAAACTTTTAAAAACTCTAACAAAATATTACTGTTTGGTTCATTTCATCTTCATACACAATGTTATAAACGCTGCTTCTGTTGGAAACTTTTTATTTTTTATTATTCCAATTTTTATTTTTTTGTCCCTCTGGCACATTTAACTTGTGAATGGTGAACCACAAAGAATACCACAGCCTTTAAAAGAAAGAATAAAAACCCACCCACCCACATGTAATTTGAGAGCAATTAAGTCATACGCTCCTTTAAAAAAGAAACCTCTCAGAAGCAAAACTAAGGTCTAAATTTCCTCCAGTTTCCAGCTAAATAACCTCCAAAACAATAAGTTACCATGACATATGCTTACATTGTATTAAAGGGAACATTTCATATGCATTTAATGATTTTAACAAGGAGCTATTTTGGTAAATGTAGGATAAAGGTAAGTGAAACCAGTTAACCAGGTGTGGTTGTTTCTTGAGTGAGTCGTCCTGTCCTGTCCTGTCTGCGTTTCAGTCACCTGACACCCGCTCATGCTTTGTTCACAAACAGCAGCCGACAGCACCGTTTTCTTTTTGCTGAGTCAGTTTCTGATATTCTTTCTGTGTTTTGCTTCACAGTCATCAAAAGTGTGTTTCTTGTCATGTTTAATTCTCTGTTTGTTAAAGGAGTGATCTGCGGATTTGAGATCAATTACGTGGAAGGTTTAAAGGTCAAGGTATATGAAAAAGTGAGTTACAGGTGCTGATAGCACCACAATGTGTCCTCCCAACACAAACACACCTGTCATATAAACATGCACAATGACTATACATTATACTTAATTCAGCTGATACTTGTATCCATAGCAATAAGTGCAATAAATCATGAGGATATATTTCATAAGAGCCACCATTTTTCCACAATGTTGAACAGTTTATGTATCATTCTTTTAAATGTTCTCTACATTTACATTTACATTATAGAAGTTGAGTGTTACAAAGTGATGTAACTATAATCAGGAAGTAAACAAAGGAGTTCAATGGAGGTGTTTCAGGCAGTGGGGGATTGTGTTGGAGAGAAACTCCCAATGGAGCAGGGGTGTCAAACTCAAATACACAGTGGGCCAACATTAAAAAATGGGTACTAGTCGAGGGCCGGACTGGTTCAATGTTTATTGCAGAACGTATTGAAATGAACTTATTGCACATATTAAACCTGGAACTAACAAAGCTTAAATTATTGCCTATAAAAACAACATTAAATAATCAGTTGCATTCATTTCTTATGGCTCTATCTGCAGCTTTTCAGAGTCATTTCTTTATGATTACATTTTTTGCCAAACATCTGTGGCGAGGCCAACTATGGAGCGGCGAGGCGCAACGTATTTCACTTATCAATCCTTATATAAAGACAATGTTAAATTGTGAATTTAATACACTTTACATGTTGCACAATTCTATACACACTAAACACCACACCATATTACACATGACGACTCATGGAGTTGTCACACACTACAATATGCCAAGAAATACACGGGGAGGGGAAAACAACTTTCAGGTTAAATATTGGTTTAGGCGACATAACAAAACATTGGCTTGTACAATGCCATTTTAGGGTATCCATTGTTCTCATTTAACAGTATATTCCAAAGTGTAAACAAGCTGTTCAGGTATAGAAAGTGGTTTCTCTCCGTCTTTCGCAGGCAACCACAAGAAACAGTGAATCTTCAGATTGAGGTCTATACAATTTGACCAAACCGCCAACCTCCCTTCGTGGGAATAGTAAGATGTATCATCAAGTAGATTAGAAACGCGTGGACGTCTCGGTGTCGCCCACTTATTTCTTATATGGGAATTTTTCTATAGGANGTAAGTGGTGGATTGAAGCTTGAAAAATGTACTCAAGTAATGTACTTAATGGGACCCCTTTATGTTTTATGGGGGGTTTTCCCTTTCCTGTAGTGTTTATGGTGTTGGTGCATGTAAATGGTCTGAAAAGGCTAAAATCCCAAAGTTCCACCAGAGGGAGTTTCTCTCCCACACACTGCCTGAAACCCCTCCATTGTACTTCTTTGTTTTCTTCCATGACAAAATGACGTCTACGGTGGCCTAAAGGGACAATGGCCCAAAAGATTTCCATGACATGACAACACACGCAAAGCATTTAGAAAACATTTACCAACATGACAAAACATGTGCAGCGTTTACTGAAAGTGTGGCATGAAAAAAACGTAGCAAGAAGCACAAAACACAACGTAAACGGGGACTATAAATTTGGTCAACTGTCACTGTTGTTGGAAAAATGTATGTTTTATTGGCTATTATTTGATCAAATAATTCCTTCCGATATTATTGCAGATCAGAGGCCTGTACTACGAATCCAGTTCAACATACCCTGGATATGTTTGAGTTACCCGGTTTACCTAATCCAAAACAAACGCACGTTCACATGAAAGGGGCGGGGTTAGCAACATTGGACCAATCACAAACATGGAGAAGCGTACTGACAGCGCAGCCTCATACTTGCTGAATGAAAAGTGGACTATAATATTAGACAAATATGAAGAAGTTCAACTTTAAACATCCATGACTTAAACACTGTATCCAGGATAAAAGCCACATCGTTGCACCTGCAAGGTGAATACAGCTGGTAAAGGAAAAAGTGTTTGAATGCGTACATTAACAGGTTAATGATATCACTGCCCCGTCTAAGACACGATCTGACTTTCATTACATTTGACTCGAGTGTTTCGTCAACTTAATGTGTTGCTTAAAATAATAATTCTGCAGTATATGACACTGTGAGTGTTGCACGGCCAGATACGGCTCAGCTGACTCAGATAAGGATATATATGATATATATTATGATGTGATATGCCGCGGACTGTACTGTTACTTTGATCCGGTTACTTATGTTGTGGCAGATATTTAAG